CAGTCTCTGTAATAGGATGCTATGATCAACAGTATCAAATGCTGCACTAAGATCCAATAGAACCAGAACGGACACTAGTCCACTATCTGAAGCTAGAAGAAGATCGTCAGTGACCTTCACCAGTGCTGTCTCTGTACTATGATGAATTCTAAATCCTGACTGAAACTCTTCATTCAAACCATTTACATGCAGATAATTGCATAGTTGGTTTGCCACAACCTTTTCAAGGATTTTTGAGATAAAAGGAAGGTTGGATATTGGTCTGTAATTGGCTAAAACACCTGGATCTAGAGTAGGCTTTTTTAGAAGTGCCTTTATTATAGCAACTTTAAAAGCCTGCGGTACATAGCCTGTTAGCAGGGAGAAGTTGATAATATCTAACACTGTACTGTTCATTAAAGGAAAGATCTCCTTAAACAGTCTAGTGGGAATGGGGTCCAAAATACATGTTGCTGGTTTAGAAGAATTAACTACTGATGTGAGCTCTGAGAGGTTCACAGTAGAGAAGCTGTCCAAACACACATCTACTTCTGTGGACGCTTCCAGAGCCGCTGCACCTAAAGACATGGTCTGGATTTTTTGTCAAATAGTTAAAACTTTATTTGTGAAGAAGGTCATGAAATTTTCACTGCTGAGAGCTAAAGGAACAGAAGGCTCAACAGAACTATGACTCCTGGTCAGCCTGGCTACAGTGCTGAACAGAAACCTGGGATTGTTCTTATTTTTCTCAATTAAAGACGAATAGTAAGCGGTTCTAGTATTACGAATTGCCTTTTTATATTTAAGAAAGCTATCTTTCCAGGCTAGATGATATTTTTCAGAATTATTTGAGCGCCATTACCTTTCCCATCTCCTTACATTCTGCTTTAAAATACGCAGCTGTTCATTATACCATGGAGCTGTTTTGTTATGATTTTTTGCCTTCCTTTTCAGAGGAGCAACAGCGTCAATTGAAGTACGCAGTAAAGCTGCCGTCCTATCAACCAGATTATCCACTTGTGTGGGACTAAGATTAGAGCTACTCTCCTTTGAGTTGGCATAT